AAAAATTGAGTTACAACTTTAAACAATATTGTTTTATTTAATAAAAATTTAATTCAAGATTTTATTAAATGTTGATACATGGATTTAAAAACATATTACATTAAGATATATAATATATTTCTAAATTTATATATCAACATTTAATAAAGCAATTTTGAAATTTTAAATTGAGTTTTTGATTTCTAAATATAGAAATCAACCTTTAATAGAATAAATTTAAAAAAATTTTTAATTAAATAAAACAATATCATTTAAGATTGAAACATTCTTTTTTTTTTTTTCTTTTAGAATTGAGGTTAATATGCACTATATAATTATAATATTTTATTAGATAAACAATCTTAATTATACAATAATTATGTTGCATTAAACAAGTAAATGCATAATGATCACATCACTATAGACAAAATATGCTAATTATAAATGCTATATATTATGCAAGATTGTGACTCATATATTAAGATTGTGTATGATTAATTATTTTCATTACCATGTAAATATGTGGTTGTTACTCTAAACAATTGAATAATATTGGGGGAAAAAAAAAAGGAGGACAGTTGATTGGCTTTTAGATGATTTACTTCCACAAAGACAAATGATGCCGAAAGAGTAGTTGAAATATTGCTCTCATGCACCAAGAGAAAACGAGGAATCTTATATCCATATTCAAGGATGTTTTTTTTTTTTTGGTTATTTTGAAAAAGAAAAGGTTAAAACCCCTTTTTAGTCCCTGAACTATTGCACGGACCCCTGATTTGGTCCTTGAACTAAAAAAATCCCTGATTTGGTCCCTACTGTTTACCATTTTTACCCCGATTTGGTCCATAAACTAAAAAAATCCCTGATTTGGTCCCTACTGTTTACCATTTTTACCCCGATTTGGTCCTTTCGTTAAAATCTCACTGTTATCTCAAACAATTTAATAACATGTCAAACCTTTGAGACACGTCAGTTGTATAAATGAATAAATAATGACATGGCAATGTGACATGTCATCTCCTTGCCCAACCCAACAAAAGTGGGACCCACCAAAATTACAAATTTGCCATCATCTTCTTCCTCCAGCCAACAAACCCAGCACCAAACAAAACCAGTACCTGGGTTGAATCGAACCCAACAACGCCCTTTTTTTTTCCTTCCTCTTCCTTGCATTGCTTTCTTCATCATCATCAAACACATCATCATCATCATCATCAAACACCAAAACCACAGAAAAAAAAAATATTTTTTACCCCTGGGTTCGAGGGAACCCAGCGCTTGGGAACCCAGCGCTTGGGAACCCAGCGCCTGGGTTCCGGCGTGGGTTGGAACCCAGGCGTAACCCCTGGGTTCCTTGGAACCCAACCCGGGCAAGCGTATTGGGTTCCTTGCGAACCCAGCGCCTGGGTGGGTTCGAAGGAACCCAGGCCTGCTGGGTTCCGAGGGGAAAGAGAAGGGAAAGGGGAAGGAGAAAGGGAAAGGGAAAGGAGAAGGAGAAAGAAAAAGAAAAAAGAAAAAAAATTAAAATTTTATTTTTCATAATATTTTT